GTGGACGCATTTGAATTAGTAGTATACCAAGGTATCCAGTGATGTAATTTTACCCACAAACGGACTTGAAGTTTTTGAGCTAATTTTTTTTAAACCACTTTTGTCCAAAAAAGCATATTTTTGACCCAAAATCAAAAACGCATTCTGGATATTTAAAATAAAGACAAGTTTTACAAAGTTTGTATAATGAGCTTTCAGAAAATATATAACATGCTGGATATATAATACCATCTTCATTGTCTAATTACTCAATTAAAAAGCAAGCCAAATAAACTGCATCTCTACCTTAACCGCAGTGGAGCAAATCATCTATTTGTCTAAGCGACGCTGGCCCGCGTTGCTTGAAAGGCCTGGGGAAAACACTGACCAAGCATTAAAGCGGGAGGGTCGTCACCTGCGCACACGCAGGATTTGAGTCCCAACCGACAATAACACACGCTAAAAATGCAAAGGCTCATGGGTAGACGCTTGTTTGTAAACAATGACACGATATGGCCATCTGACGCATGCGCAGGTGACAACTCCCCCGCTTTTTAACAATTGACAGTAAACTGCATTGATCCATTACAGTGATTTCCATAATCAAGTCATAGTACACAAGTGAGCATATGAGGACATTCAATAAGAGTAATCAAGATCAAAAGTTCAAATAAATTTTTAGGATATCACAAAAATCATGCATGCATGGCAGACCAATTTTTTCAGCAGATTCAGATTACATAGCAGTGCACCAGATGTATCAGTTTGGAATGAATCCCATGACAATTTTTAGCTCACAGGAAACCAGCGATGGATTTTGCCAACTACATGTACACCTTGCCCTGAACTTTCATTAAAAGTAGTTTGCTACCAAAAATAAATATTCAGAAATCTTCGAAATCCAGCAAGATGGGATTAGGTTACTGTGGCGTTCAAATTCAGAAATAAAAATATATGGTCCCCGAATTAAGGTTCCACAAAACGCCCCCTAAAATTGATGAAAACTGCGTTTTTTTGAGTAGTTTACAATTGATTCCTTTGGCAGAAACATTTCATCACACCTCAACAATTTTTTTGGTGACCTATGCTGAAAATGAAATGAAACGAAAAATGGTTGAATTCTGAATATTAGTATAAGTTGTTCATGTAATAATGTGTTTCCTATGGAAAATGTTCCAAACTGGCCGCTTTCTAGAATTCTTCACATATGTTTTCTTGGAAACACTTTCTTTCTCCATATGAATGTCATGCATGTACATGTAAGCATGTGAAACATCAAACAACAATTTTTGAATGATTTACTGTGATCATTTTTTGTATGTTTTAAAAGTAGCAAACTTTAATGGCAAGGCTAAAATGAGTCAGCCATAAAAAAGTACATAAAAAAAATATTATTACTTTTGTTGTTACCTCTAAATCAGGTTCGCCATGTTGACTTGTTGACGATTTAACACTATGAACTTGCTGCATTAGTAAATCACAATATAAACGTACTTCAGACATCTTGGTTTTCAATGTACCTCGTGATTCTTCTATTAACAGAATACAAATACAGATGATATTTTTGTCATATTCATGTAGTATATTGAACTTTGTTACTGTAACATAGCCGTATTTAAGAATTCAGTAGCCACTTCCTATTGTGAGTACTATAATATTCTCCTGATCCAAGTACCTCTATCATGGATTGTGTCTGCATTTTAATTTCATTTTGTGGATTGTGATGTTTTTTTTTTTACAAGATAACCATCTTGGATAAATTCAGAGTTTGGTAATTACCCATTGGTGGTGAAAGTAATAATTCAAAGCGAATAATTTAATAATTCTATGTTTATCAACTGATAAGAGTTAGTAGAAACCCAGCATGCCAACCTGTTGCTATCTGCAACTGACCACGCCAAGGCCAATATGTGTTATCTCACTGTAAATCATGATCATGTACGTGTAACACCATTTTTGTGCAGTTAATAGAAACCTGGATAAATGCACAGTACTATTCCCCAAAGCTTGATCAGCCATAATCACCAGATGTTGCAATGGCTAAGCTACCAGTGATAACAGCCTCATGTACATTTGTATATGTATGGGTTGTTGGAAATATTGTCACCACAGAGCACTGCAAATATTTCTAATGATCTTGCCTGAAATATTTACATATCTGTACTTGTATGTTCATCAGAAGTACAATACTAACATTTTTTGAGAGTATATATGATGTGCTGTTTCATGACACAATGTACATATAATACATGTATGTACTGGTGTGGGTGGGTAACCATAGGAATGGAATTTTGAAACCTTAGATGGATGCGACAAAATCATTTTTTATACAGAATTGTTTTCTGAAAATATACATGGCTGCACTCCATCATAAATCATTGAACTACTATTAATTTTTAAATTATAAACCTCGTAAAATATAGACGAGAACATGTAATTAATACTCTTATTTGAGACTGTATATTGATATATACATGCACATTAGATTATAATTTATCATGAACCAGAAATGCCGAGTATTCATTTTATAAAACTGAATGCAATTGTCTAATATGTATGTGCACTGGTTATTTTAATATGTACAATAACAAACACTGCCTACGTGTATGAGTCTACCATGTTTAGTATATTATTAATCTAATTTGGTCCACGATATGGAGTAACAATTTTAAAAATATATAATTCCATATTCATCTTTAAATTTACTGATTAAAAATGGTCTCCAAAGTCAAGTACACACAATTTACAATAAACTTATCACAAAATTATAGTTACAATGCAAACAAGCTTCAATACCTAGAGATCCTACTTAATCACTTTTTAGAATTTTGAAAGAGTGCAATATGGCTTTTTTTCTTCATAAACCTAATATCGTTTTTTTAGTCATTCCAGGTAGATTGCAGTTTATACAGCTGAGTAAGGCGGACTGAACGTACAACCCCTCTGCTGTGAGACAAACAAGTTCAAGGGTGTTGTTTATTACGCAGTGTTCTCTTCGATGTGGGACCCATAGTGACACACACAATGCATGTAAAATACATTATTTATTGACATGAAACTTGAACATGCCCATAACCCTTTTACCACTGTACCAAATTACGCACAGAGACAACAGTGCCACTTAATTTCAGGTACAGCCTCTCCTGGTTAGCTGTGAATCTTCAGTCATTACAAATACAAATTACACCTACCTTTTGCAAGGGCTTTTGAATTTGTTAAACAAGCTTTGGCACTTCCGAGAGCTACAAGCCACTGTTGTCTTTCAGCTGGTGTTGCACCTCTAATGTAGAAATGCTGCTCCCCGGGAATGATTAAATCTAGACGGCATTGATCAGACGGATGAACTGAAAATAGGAATTACATACAAAAGAATGAAATACAAAACAAATTGTCTGCCAAGATAACTCAAGCTATCAAGTGCTACAGTAACTCCTTTTGCTGCATTTGCCTTTGGTTCTTACGATAAAAAAGTTTCATCATTTGTCTGAATTAATAAGAAAATTTTGACATGATTCAAAATGCATAATGCCTATTAAAATAGTTCCAGTAAACAGTTCTAATTCAAAAAAAAAAATGTGTACTGGATACAAACAAAGTGCCGTTATTTTGCGGTATTTTACAGGGTATTTTTCATCCTACCATATTAGGAAATTGCTAATTCCAAATATGGAATGATTATGCACATTTGCATCCACTAATAATAAAAACAAACATGGCTGCCACCAGGGTTTGACCGAACTCCACACAAAGAAGTTCGCTGATTCTGTTTTAAACATTTTAGATATCGGCATTTCCATGATGTATCCTTGGAAGGAAAACATGTCTAATAATAAGGTTATTGCAAGGATACCTCAAAGTATGCACTCAAGACAGTACACCATTGCATAGACCTCCCCTACGTGTCAGTCAATACTCCTGTTGTACCTCTTTGTGCATACTTTAAAGTATCCTCATAATAAACTGTACAACTCGTACAATGATCAACAGTAACTGTCATCTTTTCATGAATGCTTGAAGTAAAACATAGTTACTATCTGAATTAACTCACAAGTTATTTCACAACAAGCCATTTTAAGAGATCCTTTGGAACCCAAATGCATCTCATCTTGAGATTTATAGTATGCAAGAATTCCTTTATCTAATACAAACCACCGTGGCTGCCAACCTGAGAACCAAAAAAGTAATGGGATTATGATAACACCTACATATATCACATACAAAGCATTTCATAAGGGCATGCATTTGTATTATACAAATGTATGCTATACATGGCCGTTAATCGGCCAATAACTGGAGAAAATATGAAAAGACAGACAGGTAATGGGCATTATCAAATATTTTTTATAGGCAGTGGAAGCATATCTTTTCACCACCAGACTTTTGCCCAAATATTTCTGCACTTTTTTCTGATACTCTTCAATATTTTTGGAAATTAACTCAAAATTTTGCGCCAACAGACAAAATTTGAGTCAATTTTCTGTTTTTACTCAAAAAATGTGGCTATTTATGTCCCAATCTTCTGAAGGAAAGTGCAGACTATAAACTGGAATATTTTGTGAATTTGTGATGAAAAGAGAGAACAAGTGATGAAAAGGTTAGATTTGAATCTAACCACTCCCGAGGAATTGTTTTATAAATGTCCATAAAACAAATTCATGCCTTGAGTAGCATTTTTGTGAGTATGGCATCATACGTGGGGTGGGGATTTAAATGAATTTAAAAAGGCTGGAGTTCATTGTATGTTTTGAGATCCAGGAAAGACCTTGCACATGCAGTGTCATGTTATCCCAGTCAATACTTAAACTTGTATCCCCTTGACACATGCATACACACACATCTTAACCATTATGTGTGAGTGGATTGCAATCTGTTCATATTTGACCAACATAGGCCCAAGTGGAGCTCAAATATGTGATTGAATGCACAACATAAGCACATTATTTCACTTACAATATGTCAACCACACCTGGAGTTTGTACTGGGCAACAGGGTTTTAGCCAGCCACCAGTCCTGCCACCAAACAGACTGGCAACTTTGATTTTGGACTGGCAAATTTTTCCCATTTTTCTGTTATTTCCTATTGTTCTTTAATAATTTTACCAAAATATATTCAAAAAAACCATCTACACTTTCATCAAGATAATTTGTTTTAGACTGGCAGTTGCAAATTCCTGGCTAATAGCCTGCTGGGCAATCACTTTCAATTATTTGATGTTTTTTAAATCTGCTACATTAAAGCCACACAAATATGTAAAATAACCATAGAACTTATTGTTTTCTGCTAAGTTTGTGAACTTGAAACATAAGTGAAAATTTATTAAATGATTGAAATAGTGAAATTATAAACGCCAGTGAATATGAATGGTTTTACAGTACAAATGCATACAAGATGTGCTCTAGCATTTAATTCTGTGTTTGCAAGAAATCTGCGATAGATTCAATTTGATAATACACGAGAAAACCTTACATGATTTTATAAATATAAATGTATATCGTACTCTGAGTCTGATTGAAAGTGCAATAAAATATGTATTGAGTAATTTGTATACAGATTCTTATGATGACACACCCCCTCATCCTGTTTAACAACCGCATTAGAAAAATAATCTTAAAATTTTCAACATTATTAATAAATTTCAGAAAAGAGGAGCCCCAAAGTGGAGTTCGTAGTTGCTCAGTTACAAACTAGATGACGTAAACGTCTAAATACGAGTCTATCGTGAACCGGAAGTACAAGTGTGAAAAACTGAAAATCGAAAGCTGGTTGTGAAGGCCCTCATTTACAACTGGACAGTCATTTCATTAACACTATGAATACAGCATACTGCGCATAACCATTAACAATCAACTCACCGCTGATATAATTGGTCCATTTGTACAACATCCCATCCATTACGGGCATCTTCGCACAATACGCGACGAGCGTATGATGCGTTGGCAGCCTCGCTTTAAATCATTGGAGCAAAGACATAAACAACCAAACATTTTTAGTCCTGATATCCAAATATTAATTTATGTTTCCCATGTTGCTACAATTAATTATTCGAAATTAGTGTTAAATTTGATAGTACCGTTTCAAAGTTGTAATATCAGAATTTACTACTTTCTGATAATACATAAGAGGCAAATGTTGTTTTTATGTTTAACAAACGTGAGTAATACAATATTTGAAGATGTATACTTGAGTAAACAAAAAGAGCTTTATGTATGGCTACAAGGATTGTTTATGTTTTTAGTGTCAGAGGTCACGGCTAGATGAACGTGTGCCCGAGTTCTCGACCGGTACAGGTGACAGCGCCGTTCATCATGCGGTTTCTTGTACTATTCGTAGTTGTCGTTTTTTTTTCTACAGTTTTCGCTGAAAATGACGAAGAAGAGGACGAATATGAAGACTGGCCTGACTTTCACGTCGAAATACTCCACAAACCGGAAGGATGCGAAGAAGTCAGCAAAAATGAAAAGTCGCTAACTTTCGATTACATTGCCCGCCTTCACGATGACATTAACCAAGGATTGGAGTTTGACTCCTCGTAAGTTTTATTTTATCGTTTTAAATTTTTGTGTTCATTTATGCGATTTGTGTCAGCCGTTTTTTTTTTATATCACATTTGTTAAGAAGATACTTTTATTTGTTGAGCTGCTCTGGGGACTACGCGACCACACCCAATTAACGATATGAACGTTGCACCATTGGCGTTTTGGGCTGTGACCGACCGATGGTTAAAATAGTACTAAGAAGATACACCATATAATTGTACTAGGATTTACTTGAAAAAAAAAATATCATATTTTAGTGTAAAACTTAATTAATTGAACTTTTTCATATTTTTCTTCTGTAGTATAATCGGTAGTTTGTATGATTACATGTACAACACTTGTTCATGTTTTTGCGCGGTGGTAGTCAATAACATTGTGACACGTGTTATTTGACTGATAGTAATTAGCTAATCCATTGCACGACCACCATTTATATTTAAATAATAAACCCATTAATGTATTCAGTGACTCATTTTGTCGTGGCATGTGTGTTCATAATGGTTGGCAACGCATGTATAGTTTAAGGGGGATGTATGTATTGTCTTTGTTTCAGTAACCACTGTATGTGTATAATGACATAATTAATGACAGCTCCCTGACCCTTAACCTGAACTATAAGCCTAACACTCCAGCTCCCTAATAACTATCAGTGACCCAAAGTAGGTATATACAATTAAAATTAGAGAGAGACACTGGTGTTAGTATTAGATTGATGGGTGGGGAGGGGACTAAGGAACTCTTATCGTGTATACTGTAAAATACTTTATTTACTTAATTTTCGCTATTCTTGCTGATAGAAAGATTCAGTGAAAATAAAATCCATCGAATGCATCTTTTTTCTATATTTCACATTCAATTCATCAAAAATCAGTGAAAATAAATTCTATACAAAACACTCAAATATTCTTTTTGACGAAAATTAATTCCAGCAAAAATAAAATATTTTACAATAAGTTATTTGTAAGTGATTGAGATGTATCTGAATATGAATAAAGAAAACATGTTATATTTCGTGTTGCATTACCTACATCTTTATTTGTGTATAATGCTATTTATCTATTTTTTTATTTATTTATTGACACAGCAAAGGAAAATACAGTAGTAAGGTCACAGAGCCCGTTTTTTTTTTTAATATTTTTCATTTTAGTCTTCTTTCTTTATTAGCTATACATCCAGTTTTCAGCCACCTGTTGATTTACCTGTTGATTTATTTGTTTTAGAAAAAAACAATCCTGAAAATTCATAAATTTATAGACAATTTCGAAATGAAAACTGCCTGTGCATTTAGTTGTTGGAAAGAAATTGACAAGAAACATTTTTTGAGCTTAAAAATATGCTATTGAATGAAACATGAAATGCAAAAGTTTGATGTGCTAAGATTATGTTGACGCATGTAATCATCATAACATTATTTCTTTCTAGGTGCATATCATTTGTATGTCTGTAGAATATTCTGACAGTCATCAATTCATAAAAATAATGAATTATGCCATAATAGTGTATAGTGGTCTTGTTCTTTGATGAAACAAAAATTAAAAAAAATAATGTATACTCAGTGCTTCAGCAAAAATCATAATTTTTCTTAATTTGTGATGAACCAAAAAGTGATCAAATTTAATATGCGTAATTGTCATCAACTATAGCATTGATTATTTTTGTATACATTCCTAAAACATTTTCCTAATCAATACCTATGTTTATCATTCACAGAATCAAGCAGGGGAAAAAGATGGTTTTCACCATGGGTGAACACATGGTTATGAAAGGATGGGAGGAAGGGCTGAAAGATATGTGTATTGGAGAAAAACGAAAATTATTTATTCCTCCTGGTGAAATGCAGGAAGGCGATAAGGGAACTGGTAAGCAACTAGTGGAAAAATAAAATTGAAATACCGGATAAATGTACTGGTAAACTTGTCAATTGTTATTGATTGACCTTCTCAAACCAGTACAGATGCTTAATGTAATTTACTGTAAAATGACTAATTTTCACCGGCTTTAAATTTCGTTAATTTATCATTTCAGGCATATTCAGTGGATTTTAAATTCACAGTTTTATCATTTAGAAAATGTGTGCTATGCTAAATTTTACATATTCACTGGGTTTTCATTCAGCGCATTTTCCAGTAAAAAGTTCGCAATTTGGAAATTAAGGGTGTATTTTTCAGTTTGATGATTTTTGTGTAAGCATACATAATACTGTAAATTACAAAAGCCTCCTTCAAATATGCATTATTTGATCATGCATTATAAATTTGTTACCATTTAATTTTCCATTAAGTGCCATTAAGAATAAACCAGTTTCGTTGAAATATGAAATAAAAATATTCCTATCTCAAAAAATATTCCTATGAAATGTCACTGTAATTTAATGCTGCTTTCAGCCATAATAATTCTTTTACATAGTAATTACATGTACATCAGATGGGCAATGTTAGGGTTCAGTGCATGTATTGCTGGTCACAACAGTATCGTACCGGTGAAAATACCTGCTGATATTACAGATTCTGGGGACAGTATGTTGAAAAGTCTGTGCACCACTGCAGTCAGGAACCTCTGATGAAATTTGTTAATACATTTCAATATAGTTTGTGTCTTGTTTCATGGAAGTATCACCTGGGAATGTCATTTTATGACACTCATATCCAGGCCCAAACAACCATTTTGCAGGTTGAGACGGTCATAATATTGACACATCACACAATAAACATGCAAAATATCTTGTTACTTGCACCAAATATTCACCTTCCCACATGTGTTTTATTAACATTTCCCTTCAATTTGAAACATAATGTTCAACTTCATCGCTGTGCTTTTGGATTTTTATTTACAATCCAAAAGCAGTTCCAATTATATTGCTTTTACCGGTAATTATAATTCTGATGTAATACTCCAACGTAACAACATACTGAACTAACACATTGTAACATATCTCAATCCATTAAATATTTTACATTATAGTCCCAAGAACCCAAATACAATTATTATGAATAATTTCTAGGTTCCACCCAAAGAGGAAATTGTGACAAAGTCTCTTTATTCAGTAGGTGCATTAATACCAGGCAATGATGTGGCTTTAGAGTATGAATTTGAATTGCTGGATGTGGGTGATAAGCCTCTATCACATCCTAGATCCAACATCTTCAAAGTGATGGATACAAATGGTGACATGCAGCTGACAAAAGATGAAGTGAGTACCTCACATGTTACACTTCTAGGGCAGTATGCAGGGTGATTTAATTTACTGATCAATATCAATAAAGGAAGGTATGGTTAATATTTGGGATTGCTTGCATCCACCAAGGCTTTGTAGACAATTGGACACCATTATGCCATAGCATTAGGAATATAAGGTTATTACAAGGATGCCAAATACAGCGGGAGTATCGACTGACATGCAGCAGAGGTCGATGCGACGGCGTACTGTCTGATTGCATAGTTATCATACATCTTTTCCTTTCAAGGATACATAATGGGAATGCCCAAATTCAAAAAGTTTTGAACGGATTTAGTGGCCTTCTTTTTGTGGAATCTGGTTAAGCCCTCGGGGCTCCCATGTTTGTTTTTATTATAAGAGGATACTCACACATGCAATCATTCCATATTTGGAATTCGCATTTCCTAATATGGTAGGATGAAAATACCCAGTGCAATACCGCAAAATTATGGCATGGTGTAACATATGTCATTAGGATGACAGATGTATAATAATAATATGTATGATGATGTTTTCATGCCTTCCTGCCTGGTATACTCATAATAAGGTGTGATTTATGTGAGTAAATTCATTTTCACATTGGTAAAACATTATTTTATTAAATTAGAGAGCAAAATGTGCATCTGTGAGCAGTGAATGACTTGTTCCATATCTACTGCAAATTACTTTTGGAGAAAATAATTTTGTAGCAGTGAAAATGTTCTTTTGTCACTTCAGTGAAATTATGAAATAGAAAGAAATAAAAATAATAAATTGACTAGTTCCCAGTCCTGTTTCCACATTATTGTACAAATGGTGGATTAAGGTAGATTTGCAGTTTACCTGACAGGTATTTTAATTAGTTAATTAGGAAACTAAGATGACTTCTCTTGTCCACAAAACTATATATTTTCGGAAAGCTTTTTGTATGAATTTGTTCTATGAACACTGTGGTTTGAAATATGCACAAAAATGTGCTTTTTTGGTCAAAAGTGATTAAAAAAAATTAGCTTCTAAACCATGTTTCTGTTTCCTGTCAAAATTGTTTTATGGGTACATCTGTTTGCTATGAAGAAAATGCCGTCTTGAAAACTGTCTACCAGTTGTCAATTTTGCAGGGCAGCAGCTCAAATTTCACTACTTCAAGTTTATGCATAAATTAACACGCATGCTAGTTGTCTGTACGATTGTTGTAACACTATTCAACTAAAAACAATGCCCCGACCGGCGTTTTGAAGATAAACACATTGTCAATCATTTGTGAACATTTCAAAACAAAAGGTCAAAGCGTCTAAGGAGCTATTTTTTTTAAAGTTCTGGGATGTGCACTTAAATTCACTCAGTAGGAAGTTTGCTAATGCTCATAATTAACAGTTCCAAATTTAAATGTATTATCGTTTTGTTAAAAGTTATATATAGTGGATAATAAGGAGATTCCTTCATTTCTTGTTTTCACCATGTTTCTTTTTTATTATTTATGTACAGCCTTGCTAAATCTTGCTAAGCATTCAAAAGAGAGAATATGTCCTGTTATCAATATTTTAAAATCGTTTTTTTAGTATGTTCCATTATTCACAATTTTACAAAATTTTAACAGTCTATAGCCAAGACTGTTTGGATAATAAAAAGTAAAAAAGAAAAATTTCACTCCCACGTGCCAACAAACCTGCATCTCTACCTTAAGGACAATGCAAATAAATTTACTGTAAAATACTTTATTTTCAGTTGGATTTAATTTGCTCTATTTTCGCTATATACTTGTAAAAGTGGTGAAAATAAATTCCATACAAAACACCCAAAAAGTCTTTTCTGCAAAAATTAATTCCAGCTAAAATAAAGTATTTTACAGTTAGTGAAATATATATCTCAACTAAAGTTGTGCGTCTGATAATTACTGTGAACTGCTTTAATCATCAAATCCTACAATGCTATATCCATATCAATATATATATATTCCAAAATCAGTATGGGGACAATATTTATTTTCAAGATTACAACTTTATTTTGTAATAAAATAACCAATAATCATAGTATCAGTAATTCTTGCATGCTCACAGAAGTCATCTGTTACTGATGTTAATCCATTTTTTTCATAAACACTATCAGTTGCTAAGTTACATAAATGATGAAGAGATGATAACTAAGCTTCTAGAGTCGGATGATGAAGACAATGATGGTGTGATCACATTTGATGAATTCAGCGGTCCTAAAAGGGATGAGTTGTAGCATAGGTTTGCATAGCAGTGCATGTTTTCTAAGTGGTCAAAAATATTGAACATCTGCTCTAATGTTATGTTTTAAAAATTTAGATTAATTAATTGATTCTCAATGCATGTTACCAGGTTGACATAAATATGGCATGTTAAGTAAAGTGCTTAAAATATATTTTGTAATCTATACACATATAGATAAGATATACATAAAAATATAAGTATTAATATTGAAAGTATTAAAAAGAGTATTACCAATAGCATATTATTATATTTAGTCCCCGTTCGGACGGAGTCCGAAAACGGGGACTTATGTTTTGCCCTGTGTGCGTCCGTCCGTGCGTCCGTGATCACCTGTATCTCGAACATGCATGGACCGATTATGTTCAAACTTCACTCATACATCACACATTATATGGGACATATGCACATGCATTTTTTTCATGATCTG